CTTTCCAACAACATTTTATTATTGAAAAGGCAGTCCCACAATTTGAAGGAAGGCAAAACAGGGAGGAAAAAAAAAACAAACAGTCTGATGACATCTTTTACATTATCTAGCAAAAAAGACAAAGTTATTGACTAAACTAGATAAATATCTTTGAATGGCAATCATTCTAACCAGTGACATCCATTAACTGTCAAATAAAGTGCATAAAAACTGAAAGAACTGCAGATGCTGGAAATCAGAAACAAAAAACAGAAATTGTTGCAAAAGCTCAGCAGGTCTGGCAGTATCTATGGAGAGAAATCAGAATTAATGCTTTGGGTCCAGTGACCCTTCCTCAGAACTGGCGTTACTCTCAGAAGTAAAGTCCTGTTACTCTCAGAACGAAATGCAGTGCAAATCTCTTTACAGAATCCTTTTCTTACGCTTCTCCTTCCCCCTAACCCCAGAAAGACAGAGCGAGAGACATACACACAGACACACACAGAGTTGCGCGACAAGGGTGAAAAATCGCAATCCTAATTCCAGACCCTTTGTGTCCATGGCGACCAGTATTCATCTCCTAGGAAACTAATCTCGTGGTATTTGAACAATGTAACTATGGTTTTTACTCTCTCGGAGACTGATCTTTTTATCTGCACATAACTCATTCTATCATTACACCATCAAAATAGCTAAACACAAATCCAACCTCTAACTCTCTGCCGATACCACAATTCAGATTTTATAAAGGGCCAGGACTTGAAGATTCAACAACACCACATAGAAGTAGAGATTAAAACCAAGTGACTGCCCAACATGAAAGAAGAAAATCCTCAACTCAGTAAAATTTATACAATGAATGAGCATACGAAAACATCAGAGTGGAAGGTTAGCTGGCTATCTGGCCACTCCCACACGGTTGTGCGTCCACTATCCACCTTGCTAAGAGGTGCCGTACCCCTCAGTGCTAATCCCTGGGAAGGAGGTGAAATGATTTAAGGTGCCAGAGAAAACATACGTCATTTACAATGAAAACTATAAGAGTTGGAAGTGAGATAAAGGTATACTGCAGCAGATTCTGGAGAAGGTGAGGTTTACAAATATACGATCATGAACACATGAAATAAGAGCAGCACCAGGCCATTCAGTCCCATGAGACTGTCCCACCAGTTGTTAAGATTGACATTGAAACTGTTTTGCCGGCTGGAGACCAATTTCACTCTGCCCCTGCAGCCAGCAGTGGGTTTTGTATGCAGGCCATTCACTAAGCGTCTCTGCCAAAATGACACAATTCCTTATAATTTGTTTTAAAAACAAAATGATTAAATTACATTCTTCTGTCTCCGATACCAACTTCACCTTCTGCATAAAATTCCAAACCTCAGAGACCAGAAAAATCAACTTTTGATTAAGTTCTGCCAGTGTGGATTGTCAGCTCTAGATCTTCTGTGCATCTCAGGCAGCTTTAAAATTGGAAACCTGGCCAACCAAGTTGGCACTGGAATAACTTCAGGAAGAACTGAGAGAGTTTGACAGCACGGTGCTGACTCGTCACAGCAGGAGAATGCAGATCACTCTACATCAAGTGGGATTAGTTCATTTTGGGAAACCTGATTGGAATAGATGAGTTGGACCAAAGGGTCTGTTTCTGTGCTGCATGACTCTATCATCATCCAGCTCGTCAACTGGGCTGGTCTTATCAACACAAAAATCTGAAAGTGACTCAATCTCCCGTGCCTTGCCAAGACTGAGTCTCTTGACTCATCATCCACCAAATCCAAATAATGTTACGTGGCAATGAACAGGACAAACAGGTTACTGTCAGATCAGTTTTAATCCCCCAGGGTCACGCTGAAGCTGGGCAGTGACCTGGTCAGGTTGTACCTGGAGAACTGGATGCAACTCCGGCTAATGTGATATAGAGGGCCAACAAATATCCAGAGGCCAAATCGTGAAGAGCAATAAAAGGCAAGAGGTATAAAGTCACCAACCTGGGCTGTTCAGACTCAAAAAGCAGCTCAAAGAGCACTTTAACTGGATACAATAAAATTAATTAATGGGCCAAATGATAGATTTGTAATTATGAGCATAATGGCCTTCTTTATCTACATGTTTTAGCAAGTACCAGAAAGTAGCTCACCTGCACACACCGCGACAGTGAACGCTATATGCTGATTGTGGAGAGATGAAAGAACACAAATAGAATCATAGAATCTCTGTAGTGTGGCAGCTGGCCATTTAGCCCATTGAGTCCATACTGACTCTTTGAAGAGCATCCACCCAGCCCAACCCCCTACCGTATAACCCTGCATTTCCCATGGATAATGGGAATAATTTTTTTTTAAAAAAGGTGAAATTCAGATTTTAGTGAAAGTAAAGGGTACTAAGTGAAATTCTGTGCCGTGTTTGTTTTAAATATCGAAAGGATCCAATAGGACAGAATTTGCCCTTCTAAATTAGGATTTACATGGAGAATTTATTAAGGGCAACTAGGGATGAGCAAAAAAGTGCTGGCCAGCCATCGACTCTTGGGTCCCAAGAGTGAATATACAAAATAAAAACGCTACAATAAAGTACTAGGGAGAGAAACCCGAGACAATAAATTAAACAGCACCACCATGTTACATAATGGGGGCTTAATCACAATTCTTCGTACAATATATTGTAACTGCTACATTCAATTCATCTCTTGCAAAGCTGAAGGAGAAATGAAAATGTGCACCAGGTTAAGAGGAATGTCTGTATAACTGAAAAGTGCTTCAAGTATTCTGTATCAAGGAATGCAAAGCTATTAATGACAAGCTGTGGCATCCACTTATTGCATTACAATTAAATGGCAGGTCAACATTTATCCTTGACAAGGGTGTTAACAGAGTCCTGCATCTTCTTACAAAATGAGGTGTTTGCTATGGTTCAGTGGTCAGCGCTTTCACCTCTGAGTCAGCAGGCTATATATTCAAAACTTGAACGCAACTGTGAGATTGATGCCCCAGAGGGCGCTGCACTGCAAGGAGTGGCATTTTTCAGAGCTCAAGTCAAACCAAGGTCCTCAAAAGTGGATATCAATAATCCCATTGCATTTCCAAGAAGAACGGTGAACTCTTCTTTGATGTCCTGATCAATATCTATCCCTTAACCAACATCACCGAAACAAGCATGGTGGCTCAGTGGTTAGCACTGCTGCCTCACAGTGCCATGGACCCAGGTTTGATTCCACCCTCGTGTGGCTGTGCAAACTCTATAGAGATAATCTCCCCGTGTCTGCAAGGGTTTCCTCCAGGTGCTCTGGTTTCCTCCCTCAGTCCAAAGATGTACAGGTTAGGGGGATTGACCATGCTAAATTGCCCATAGTGTCCAGAGATATGCAAGCTAGGTGGGTTAGCCATGGGAAATGCAGGGTTACAGGGATAGGGTGTATCTGGGTGGGATGCTCTTTGGAGGATCAGTGTGAACTCAACTGGCCAAATGGCCTGGTCCTATACCGTAGGGATTCTATGATTCTAAATGGTCTGGTGCTCACTACTGTTTGTGGGAGTTTGCTCATATTAGTTGCTGTGTTTCTTACACAACATGTGATAACCCATCAAAACATACATTGGTGGCTGTAAGGCACTTCAGAGCCTCCTGTTCTCTCTAGAATTTAGAATAATGAAGTGTGACTTTAGTGAAAAACACAATCTTCATAGAGACTCGACAGGGTAGGTGCAGGAGAGAAGTTTCCTATGGGGGAGGGTTGGCAATTGAAGGAATCAAGTCTAAGGATTAGGCCATTAATGTCCGAGATGAGGAGGTATTTCTTCTAAGGCTGGTAACTCTTTGGAATTCTTTACCCCAGAGTGCTGAGTATTGTTGAGTATGTTCAAGACCATCATTCCCACTAATTCTTCAATCTTCTGCATGGACCTCCAAGGTGTTGTTCAAGATAGAGATTGATAGGTCTCTAAGTATTAAACACGTCAAAGGATATGCACACTGTGTGGGGGATATGCCACTGAGGTGAAGATTAGCCATGATCCATCTGAATGGCGAAGCAGGCTGAAGGAGGTGAATGGTCCATTCCTGCTCCTATTTCCTATTCAGCCATAAAAAGGCATTATATGAAAGGTATTTCCTTTACAAATGCACCTGGTCACAAATGAGTACTTTCATGACTGGTCAGATGGAAATCATGGTTCCATGGGAGCAAATATTAACAATCACTTAGGGGCACTCAATGCAAATTTATTACTGACATGGAGCTCCCCTGCAAATACTGATTACCCCCATTGTTCTGTAAATATTGCAAATACTGGCACACTTTCAGAGACAAGCTAGAAATAAAGAGAAAGCTGAGAAGCCAAGAGTGCAATAACTTTATCTAATAGCCAGGACAGGTTAGGGCACACTGAATACTCTATCATTGCTAAAAACTGTTGCTTTAAAAACACAGCACTGAAAGTAACAATTCCCTCAACAAGAACAAAATACCCACAAGCTGATGACCTTCAGGGACCCCTGGAGTTCACAGTTTGAAAAGAAAACTTAGTCACAGGAAACACCAATACTGAAACAAGCACAGAAGCACCATCAAAAGGAGGTAAAGCGAACTCATTCACGGCGAATAAAGTCAAAAACTTGAATTGAAATCAGGAAGGAAAACCTTTCAGACAATAAAATACTGCGGTTATAATTAATAACAAAGTTGACACAATCCAAGTGAAACCCTACACTTTAGATCAGTGACAGAGTTGGGAATGTAGAACTGGAGGAACTAGGGTCAGTTTGGTGTGTTTGAACGTTCACAAACTGCGGAAATGGGCCTCGCATGAACGTGCAAACCGACAAGGGGAGGGGAAAGTGGGCGACTGTTAGTGACTGACCACGGCGCAGTGAGGGAGTCTCGGCCTAAAGAGCACGCAGCAGACCGCTGCACATAGGTCGCAGCTGGAACTACCAGGAACTGACAGTCGGTGGTGGGGTGGTGGGGTGGGGGTACAAAATACCAGATTAATGAAAACAGCGGCATCCGTGAAAAACCTTACAGCCCAAACCCTTTCCACTGCGAAACACAAGTGAAAACCCTCACTGCCTGATCTCCTGGCAGCGTGACCCAGCCAGTCACGTGTCGCCGCAGGATACAATATGTATCTGTAAAAATATGAAACATTGTTACAAGTTGCTCGTGTTTGTTTCTCTGTTTGTTACTTACACCATTCAATTTAGTCGGCCCACCACAGCGCTGATCTCTCTTCTTTCTCCCAAAAAAACACACACACATATACACAAGGAGTTCCTTCTGTTTTTTTTAAAAATATATTTTTGAAAAAAAAAAGTCCTTAATTTCTCCTTTAGACCAATCCGGATTTTTTTCTGTTTCTTTTTTTTTTGTTTTGAAATGTACAATCCGGAGTGTGTTTCTGATACAGAGAGAAAAAAAATAAATGGGATGTCTTTTTGTCCTGATTGCAGACTAGGCACTGAAGGAGGTTTGGCAGATTTTTTTTTGCTGGCTCTGCTCAGACTAGCCTTTGTTCTCTAATCCCAGTAAAGCGGCAACTCATTCGCCCCTGCTAATCCCAGCTCCAGTCCTACACACTCCTTCATTGGCTGTAATTTACATACGGATTAAGGCACACACACATACATATGTCCCATTCTTTTTGCCAAATTACGGCACCTTCAAACTGACAAGAGGAGGAATCAGGGGCGGTGGAGAGACGTGAAATTGACAAAAAAAAGTGCCTTAAACTGCGTCAATTTCCCGAATTAAAATATTCCCATCTCCCCCACCCACAAACAAAAACCCGAAGGGGGTCGCATAAATTTAAAAACAACTACGACGTGATTTTGTTTTCTGAAAAGGGATCTTTTACGGGACTTTGTTGCTTTTGTTGTGCAAGATGTCATGGGTTTGCAAGATTGCAGCCCTACATGAAGTAGCCGTGTCCGTTAATCTGCAGGATTTAAAAACTGTGCAGGGGTTTTCATTTTGCTCTCCCTTTCAGGTTGTAGATTAGGCAGAGCATGTGATCCTCCCACGGGGCTGATAGAAAGAGACAGATATACACACACACACACGCATCAAATGGCCGACTGCACGGTTACGTTTGTGCGTCTGAGGTTTTATCGCTGTGTAGGCTGAAAGGGGAGAGCAGACCCAGGACACGTACCTGCTCCGAAGCATAATTTGAAGGTTCAGCGGTAGTCCCGAATCATCGACAGTTCGAGCGTTCCTTTACAAACATTAAAGATGTGATGCGTTTCAAAGCCATATTCAGGAGTTAAACTTTGCAGCGGAGAGGCTGCGCAGTAAAGCGGACAGCTGATAAGTAAATTGAACTCACCTCTGCGTTCTTCACTTTGCTGACTTCTCAGTTAACTCGCTGCCTGCTGCCATGCCTGCCAGAAACGGGCCACAAAGCAGTTCCATGTTATTTGGCCCCCAACCGGGAGGCGGCTGCCTGTACAGAATAAGGCGAATTCGCCACTCAGTAATCCGGGGCCGTTTTAATCACTTGCACCTCAAGGCTGCTCCTTTGGCAGAGTGGTAATGTCCCTACCTCTGGATGATAGGGCCTGGTTTCAAATCCTTCTTGTTCCAAAGGTTTATAACAGGCCGACTGGATAAAGATACTCGATCAAACCAGGCTTAGAGGGTCAGTCACTGAACGTAATCCCTGGAGGTTGCCAATGTACGTTTAACAAAATAATGTAAAAGTTTATTACAAAAACACAAACTATATTTCGCCAAAAAATTTTTTTTCAAATGGTTACATTACAAATATCACCAAACTCTAGGTCAGCCACACTTGTTTGCACTGTCTCCATATAGGATCCCTAGAGTGTGGGAGCAGGTCATTTGGCCCATGGAATCCACATCAACCCTCCAAACAGCATCCCACCCAGACTGATTCCACCAACCTTATCCCTGTAACTTTGCATTTCCCATAGCTAACCTGCCCAGCCCTGGACCACTATGGGTAATTTAGCATGGTCAATCCCCCTAACCTGTGCATCTTTGGACTGTGGGAGGAAACTGGAGTACCCAGAGGAAACAAACATGGGGAGAATGTGCAAACTCCACATAGACAGTCGTTCAAGGGCAGAATTGAACCTGGGTCCCTGGTGCTGTGAGGCAGCAGCACTAACTACTGAGCTACCATGCTGCCCAAAAATCTCCTCGGAGTTTCCCAAAATCTGTTAGCTTCAGGACCAGTTGTGGCCTGAGCAGGTCAAAGCTGTCTGGGGTAGAATCCCAAAACTCTGGAATGAAGACTGTAGAAATTGTAAGGAGCTGGACCTTATAGAATATGAGCTCCCTGATTGGGGTTGTTAATCTGGTCCAATCAGGGAGCCCTGGCTGACATAAAAGGATGACAATCAGGGATATCAAGTCCCTGAAAGCCTGATTCAATGAGGGGTAGTGCTATTGTCAAAGACAGTGTATCCTCCTTTGGAAGCATAGATATGGTGAAGGAAGCTGTCTAAGGTTGATTGTATAGATAGACTGAGGCTAAAACAAATTGCAGGAAATAAATTTTCAAAGAAGCAATTGACAATGTTCAACAGAAATATTTTCCATTATGAAACAAGAATACAGTGAGAAAGATCTTGGCTAAGTAGGGAAGTTAAGGATAGGGTTTGATTAAAATAAGTTTATAATGTTGTAAAGAACAGTAATAGCTTGAGAATTGGAAGTGTTTTAAGAAATCAGCAAAAAGTTGAGAAATGGAGAATCGATAATATGAGAGTAAACTAGACAGAGTTTAAAAACTGATCATAAAAACTGTTACGTGTACAAAAAAATGTGTGTCTTAAGAAAATTTTGGTCCCTTGAGGGGGGACCAGAAGCAATGATCATAGGGAATGAGGAAATGGCAGAGATTTTCAATTAATATTTTATGTTTGTTTTTACCAGAAGATACAAATTACATCCTAGAAGAGACAAGTATCGACAGAGGAAAAGTTCTTGAGGACACTAAGGGAAAAATTCTGACAAATCTTTAGGATCTGATGGCCTAGTTCCTGGGGTTTTAAAAGCAGTCCTTGCAGAGATAGTGAATGCACTAGTCATGCTTTCTGAATGGCCCACAGATTGGAATTAAAAGCCATAATGCTTTTCAATAAAGGAGGAAGAGAGAAAGTTGCTGTATAACCCAGATATTGGTAAACAAGATCCCAGAGCAGGCCCAAGAATGAAGTTCTGAGGAAAGGTCACTGGACCTGAGATGTTAACTCTGATTTCTCTCCACAAATGCTGCCAGACCTGCTGAGCTTTTCCAGCAACTTCTGTTTCTGTCCCAGAATGAAACCTGACTGGTTAGACCACAAGTTTTATTTTTGCAAATTGCTACTGTGGAAGTCAGACACCGAACATATCCCCAAGAGGCTGCCAATGTACATTTAACAAAATAACATAAATGTGTATTACATGAAAAAATCCCCACAAACTATATTCGGCTATATAATTATTTTCTAATGATCATATTACAAATATCATGAAGAAAGATTTAACCATTTTACCCACAACAATAACCTTAAGGACACTGAAACCTTTGTGAATGATTGCTCTGTCTCCACTTCAAAAGTCTTTGTTCAGTTGACATGGCTATAAATAATTTAATTTTGACAAATTTCTGCATTCACTCTATGGAATTTCTTTCAGTTAATTTCCCTTCCTGAGACTCTTAAACAAGCTACTATCCCTGCTCACTTATTATTTAACATTTTCTGCCTCTAGAATCTTCTTCTAAACCCTGCAACACTTTTTCTTTCTGACCATCATTTCAGTTACATTTCAGTTGCACATTTCTGCTGTGGGTGGACCTCTCCGATCAAAAGCTGCACACTACCTGACTACTGTAGGATGATTTTGTCTTTCTATGATACTGGACATTTGTCACTAGGTAAAAGCAGCTTTTTTAAATACACGTTTCCCCTGTTGCACTGAACTGCTCACCTCAAGGGTTTAGCTACTCCATCTTCCAAACAAACAAATTTCCAGGAAGCCCATTACAGATCTCACAAATTAAACTAAAACAATATCTCCCCTTTCTGAACACGCGTTATTAAAGTACAAATCAAATTTGAAGCTAAACATTATATCTCCACTTTAGAACCTTGTTACAGACCAGAAAAAGCTCCCTCAAAACACATTACAAAGATAGCCTAGACCCTAGAAGATAGCCTGACTTTTTCTTATCTTAAAGACAAATGTAAGGCTTTGTGTTCCAAATACAATTTTAATGGTCAAACTAACCAACTTTAAGCAAAATATGCTTTAATTTTACACTACAGTTAAAATATAGGCAATAAAAAATAAAAGAAAAGAATTAGCTTATCTGTAACTCTATTGAAATGCTTAACAAAATAACATACATATTAACTGTTCCAATATGGTAGCATCCCATAAATGCACCCTTGGCAAAGGCAAATTCAGTAAGATAAACTGTTTCCCATGCAATTCTAGCAGCAGGAAGACAGCCCCAGCTTTTAGCTGTAACAGAGAGAGGAATAAAACCTTCCACACCCAGCTTCAAGACCCCAGCAACTGCCAAAAGTTAAAATTAAAAATTATGTTTCTGTGGGAGCTTGACCCCACTCATTCAGGCTGTTTCTGTTGTTCCAACTTTGAAAAGAAAACAAGTCCTCACAAGCTGTTTACTTTATTGGCTTTGAGCAGATTGCTCGACACCTCTGCCTCAAACTTTCTTCATTAAAAAACCAGAGCAAAATATATTTCTTAAAGCCATAGTATCATCATTACCTCAAATTCTCAGATTGAAATAATGTATTGTGTGTCTTTAGCACATAGAACAGATAGCGTCCCACCAGTCATTGGCAAAATACAGGCATTTTTATTAGGAAAGGATTGATGGAAACAATCACATTTTGTCAAAGCTTTTCATTTTGAGCTCATCAGGATAATTCACAAGAATACCAATTTAGGGGCAAAACCAACATTACAGCACAGAGTGGAAAATTACACTCTGTTATCCCAAAATTTATCATTTTTTTCCAACTCTGTTTTCTATACATTAACCAATTCTCAATGTATGCTGATATATCATATCGATTCCATAATCCCTAATCTTGCATATCATTCTCTCTTGTGGTACATTATTGAATGCCTACTGAAAATCCAAATATACCACATCTGCTGTTTTCTCTTTATCTAGCATTTTTGCAGAAGTTCATATTTTTCCTTTGGCACTATAGCAATTAAGAGTCAACCACATTGCTGTGGGTCTGGAGTCACATGTAGGCCAGACCAGGTAAGGAGGGCATTTTCATTCCCTAAAGGACATTAGTGAACCAGATGGATTTTTCTGATAATTGACAATGGATTCATGGTTATCATTAAACTCTGAATTCCAGAATTTTTTTTTTGAATTTAAATTCCACTGTCTGCCGTGGCACATTTTTCTTCAACTTGAAGATAAACATATGGATGATAATGGAATAGTTTAGGTTAGATGGGCTTCAGATTGGTTTCACAGGTCAGCGCAACATCGAGGGCCGAAGGGCCTGTACTGCGCTGTAATGTTCTATGTTCTATGTTCTAAGATCAAGTGAGATTGTATGGTTTACATTTCAGTTGCTCAAGGCTATCAATCTAACCTTCCCAACAACATTAGCAACAGCAAGTCAGTTGGGAAAATATGGCAAAAGCAAAAAAAATTGAGATTGTCAATGTTGAGGAAAAAAAAGACAATTTTCCACCCAAGGGGTGAGATAGAATTTCACTAGTCTGTGGTTAAAGGCCTATTTTCATGTATTAGCACCTATTTATTGTCTAATCTCACCTCATTTGCATATAGTTTGCTACTTTTCCAGAAATCCGATGGTGACAATTGCCAACATGAATATCTGAGCAGGTATTTGGAACTTACAGCTCGATGCTTGCTCTTCTGGGCCTCAATTTCAGCCAACCTTCTTCAACACCTCAGGGTATGCTTCAGGGGCAGTGACCACCTGCATCCTTCATCCAAGGAGGTTGGCATCAGGCAAGGGCCAGCCTCATCTCATCATCAGGCCACATCTATGACTCACTGATAATAGGTTCATCACTTCAATGCTTTGGAGCTCACCTGACACAACGTTTGCAATGCTGCTGCGAGGTCACATTTCATGGTGGGATAGGTAGCATCTCATGCATCAAAATGCAGTGCCCCTCAGGGCTGTCAACTTGCTTACTTAGAGCCCATCTACTTTGCACTTAGGTGGATAATCACTGCATCTCGGCCTCACCTTTGTGTGCACTGTCGCATCTCTCTGAACTTTGAGCATCACAGCATTTCTGTCTTGTCCTGTCATGATGGCCAGTAGTGATTTGTCAAGAGAGCAGACATAGAATCTCTGAAGTGCTGAAAGAGGCCATTCGGCCCATCAGGTCCACACCAACCCTTCAAAGAGCATCCCACTCAGACCCACCCCTCCTATCCCTGTAACCCTGCATTTCCCATGGCTAACCCACCTCGCCTGCACATTCCTGGACACTACGGGCAATTTAGTGTTGCCAATCCAGCTAACCTGCACATGTTTAGATTGTGGGAAGAAACTGGAGCACCCAGAGAAAACCCATGCAGACACAGGGAGTATGTGCAAACTCCACACAGA